TCTAGTTATCAAATGCAGATCCAGGAGAAGAGGAAGGGAACAATAAATGGCTTTATAAACAAAGACATTATTGACTTTATTCACCCAATTAGCCTTCAGTACATTTTCTCATTAGAGAGCAACGGGTCAATCAAAAGTTTCCTCTCAGTGCGCTGAGCTCAGTCTCTTATGTTAGCTCATGGAAAAAAAGAGCAAATATCAGCCTTCTGTCTGCAGCCTCTGCACCTTCAAATATGAAACATCGAGAAAAACAAGAAATACAATATTTTGTGGCTTTTATGCAAATATGACATTTCCCCTGCCGGTTCCACAGAGCCAGGTTCTCTGTTGACCGCAGATACCCGCATGTGTTAGTGCTGAGGTGGCAGCAGCCTCTGTGGCATCGAGTCTTCATTATTTGTTATCAACACATTAATACCTGTCAAATAAAAATCACACACATGCACGTCTGAAAGTTCAGCTGTCTGCACCAAATCTGTGGGAAGCGAACGTCAAATCTATCAGTGACCAGGCCTATCTCCTAGCTGCACCTTCAGGAACGAGTTGCAGCGCATAGATAGCTCTACTAATAATTGAATGCTGACAGTTTTAATGTCATTTGTTATTCACATTCAAAGTTGTAACTGCAGTGTTTATTGATGATTTAAAATATCTCTGTCAGCTGCTTTTTGAAGGACATGCGCACAAAGAAAGCTCGAAGTAGTGATTAAATATTGATAGATATTTCCCTGCATTTGATCTCATTGCAGTTCAATGTTCGAGCTAACACGTAACCAGCTCATCATCAATAAATACCTTCTGCAGTTAAAGCACCTTTCATGATATCTCTTTTATATGTGACATTATCTGTGACTCATTTCATGTAATGTCATTAAAGATCCACTAAATGTACAAACCTGCCTTAAGCAACACACGTTTCTTAAGATAATCCAATTGAATCTATCTTTGGAACAATTTCAAGACTGTTGGAGACATGTGGCTTTTCTACGATAAAATCAGCACACATTTAATCCATATTTGTTGACATACCTTTGGAACAACTATCTAATCAGTTAAATATTGTCAAGTAAAATCGTTAACACATGCATTTTAACATAAAATGTAAAGATAGTAAGCATATTTTGGGTAAAAAAAAAAAGATCTGCTAGTGTGGCACTACACATCAGATCTGCTGTTTTATTATTAGCGTGCTCGCTTTCAGAGACGCTGTGTTTTTAAGTAGAAAAATATGGAAAGTGTCCTCAGTACCTCAACTTTCACAGTCACAAACATCCATCAAAATGTTGCCACGAGCACCCTTTCCCTCATATTGTAAAAAAAGGAACCCGCAGGAAACACACTTTTGACTCTTAATTGATGTGGAACGCATTCATTGCCATAGAAACAGAAGTCAGAATTCTTCTTAAAGTTCCTCCTTTCATTGTTTTTAAACACTCTGCACACCTCACCATATTAAGTACCAACTTACTACTCCTATGGACAGAGATGGGGTCGTTACTAAAAAAAAAGTAATATATTACATATTACTTTGATCGCATTTTAACGCGTTCCACCCAACTCTGCCTATGGAATACAAATACATATTTTATGTTCTATTGAAACAATGCTATCCATCTGACATGGGTATATGATATTAGTCTTCAGGAGTATAGTGCAGAGTTGGTTTCTTGGCTGATGCTGCACTTGTTGCTTTGAGCTGCCTTTTATAAAGCAAAGGTTCCAAATCAAGCGCTTGAAATCCTGTGGTTTGAAAAGGAACAATGATAGAATATTGAGCAGAAACCCGCAAGAGCCAATTATAGCAAGACTTGAAAACATCGAATGTGGGGTACATGAGCGGAAGAAAAACATGGAAACCAGAAATATAACTTGTGTCTCCTGAGCCAGGTGGACAGTTTGCATGAAGAACATTCAGTAGCATGTAAATGCATCTTTTATTTAGACAACAACACAATGATAAGCCTCCATTTACATTTTTTTCTGAAGTTATGTTTTATCCAAGACCACATGCCTGCCGTTGAAGCTGATTTTTGGAATTGCCCTAGATGCTAAACAGTTGTACGACAACTTCTGTGACGTAAGGCCCTAAATACTTTTTCCCATTGACTTACATTGGGACAGAGATGTCTGTAAATCAGCAAGAGCTCATCAATAAGGTAAATAAACTACCCAGCACGAACAAACTCAAGTGCGCATGCTTTATAAGCAAAAGGCCCCGGATGGAGTGGATAGTTTCTGAATCTACAGTCGCTCCTTTCTGGGCTTCATTCGTCACTGAGTAACTCTCACAGGGAATGGCTGGAGCCCTGCCTCAGACTCTATATCCAGTTGTCTTTATACATCCATGCTTTGATCACATTCCTGTGATTCCCTTGAATCACCCCTCTAAAAAGTTCAGTATAAACACAAAGTGTGTGTGTTCCCGTATCTTGAATATATCGTTTGATGTGTGCATTATATAATTACAATTTTACAAATCAGGTACATTTGCAGTTATGTCTGTCGTGTTCCATGTTTATAAAAGGAACCTTTTCGTGTCCTGATTAGAGGAACCAGGGTCTACATTAAGTCCCCCTAACCTAAAATATTCCCTGTTTCAGGGGGTTTAGTTCTGATACATCGTTCAGGACAGGGCTCCGTGGCTGTTTATTGATATATTTTCTTTTAATGTGAAGCTCTGTAGTTTATTTCTATTGTTCTATCCTCCCCTGTAGTGTTACTGAATTATACCATTTCTTAGATTCAGGTTTAAATGTATATTACTTTATTTGTGAAAATACCTAAAAACAAAGAAAATTGATTGATGTTACTCGGTTAATTTCGGTTAGATGTCTCTGCCCTAAACCATCATTCTTACATTTTTTGGACAGTGAGTTGATTATTTATTAAATGTCCGTAGTGCATTTTACATGAAAGACCACAGAAATGTCCAATACTGTAGGTGGAGCTTTTGGACGACATGATGAAACTTTCAGCCTTTTCTTTTAGGGAGGGCATCTCCAACTACTCCAACCAATGTTAGTCCTCTCAAGAGCATTTTCATTCACAGAGGAGCCTTGTAATGTAAAAGAATGAAAGCACTCAGAACATGGCATTGATACACTGCATTAGATTTGAATTCATACTACTTATAAGGTTGTCAGAAGTGACCTTGAAGCCCTACATATAAACCTTGCTAAAGTATGTGTATTGTAAATGTTCCTGCAAAATGAGACAGTGTGGAAAATAACTTGAAGGTCAGCGACATTTAATCCATTGAATCTCATTTTTAGGGCACCAAACACAAAACAGGCCTGGGATTTAGAGTGTTATTGGCTCTGACAAACAAACATAATGCCATGCACTCCTTGAATGGTTTTCATGTGCCAGATGTGCCTGCGTGTTTTTTATTCACATTTGGTATTTAGTCATGGCGTGGACTGTGAGCTTTCATTTCCTCTGTGAGACTGTAAATAAGCCTAGCATCCTCTGGGAGTGACTACATAAAACACTCTGTGGTTAGCAGACCTCAGTGCCTGCCAGAGGCATAGCTAAACCATGGGCGCTTCACTTCCATGAGGTAAAGGCAATATCCTAGATATCTCTGTTTATCTAGCAGAACAACACACCATCAAAAACACACACCTATAAAACAAAGGTATAAAAATCAAATGTCTGAGTCACTGCTATGAAAAACAAATGTAAAGGAAGATGGGTAGTAGGGACATATTTGTTTTGTTCCTGAAGATAATCCTTGAGACAAAAGATTAATTACAAACATTGTATTTCATTCAAATCAACGTATTCTTATATTGTATTTTTTATTTAGTGATTGAGAATGACATACATTTCCTTTTATTTACCAAACCATCAAGAGAGATTTATTTTGGACCCTTATACATTCTGCACTCTTTTAAGTGATCTCATATTTCTGATCGTCTCTCGGGTTTTAATTGGTATATGTGTGTGTGTGTGTGTTCGTGTGTGTTCGTGTGTGTGTGTGTGTGTGTAGCGCTTGAATTCACTTTTAAATATGCCTTTTCTCTAGAGGTCTCAGCCCCTTGTGATGTGAATGTGACCCGCATGACTAATTCCATTTAAAGGGGAATAACATGCATTAGGGCTCTCACTTTTCTGCCTTGCATTTGCATAATTTTGTTTGGCAACTTGGAAAAGAGCCATTAACAGCACTAAGACGCACATTTTAAAGGATGGGGCCGGAGTCAGATCAATACTTTATTTCAACATCTTCAGCAACGTCGGGGTGCAGATCAAGAGGCATTCACTAATTCAAATGCGTGCACGTTACTGTGATGCTCCCATTAGTTCCTGATAAGAAAACACCGCTGCACTGCCTCTCTTAATCTCTGACAGACACGTTCCCTCGATCAATAGTCTTCTACTTTTTTGTTGACAAGATTGATTGCCAGCAGTCCCTTGTGCTCGATTCCACTTCTCGCGCCCCTCATTATTGTTTCAATTAGGCATTCTCTAGAGACCTTATTGGGGGTGGCTTTTAAAATGCGCTGACCCCCTGCACGTCAAACACCGGATGTTCAGCAGCACAACCTTTGACACCAACTTTATTCAGGTCAAGAAGTGGAAGCGCGTCCAAACAAGTGGATTATGCAGGAGGGGGGAGGGGGGGGGGGGGGGGGGGGGGGGGGGGGGGCAGGGCAGTCTGCGGGAAGCGCTGGGATGACCGGGGGAAGTTACGACTCGCGCCAGTGAGGAGGAAATAATCACAATGTTACCTTCTCATGAATTATTAAGTACCCTGTGCCTATTTTAGTCCGACTGAAAACGCTGCATTTTCATCTATGGGTCTTGCAGTGTGCAAGGGTGTTTTTTTTATTTGACAGCTGTATTACTGCTGATAAGCGAGACTGTGTGAGCTGATCAAGTAGTGAGACAAGCAGTCAGAGCAGTAGCAGCACAGCAGCAGCAGCAGCAACATCAGCGCTCGAGTCACTAGGAGCCGCGGCGGCAGAAGCAGCAGCACTATCAGACACAGCAGAGGCAGCAGCAGCAGCAGCAGCAGCAAACTCTCTCCTCTCTTTTCCTCATCTTTCTGTAGTTGTTCCCTGCTCAGAGGATAAAAGCCCAGGAAGTAGGAGGGAAGTGGTTCAGGGCTGAAAGCTGCCATCAAAAACAAAACCCTAAACGCAGACCTGGCTGCCCCCATGCCTATCGAATTTGTTTGCAAAATCAAATTTGCAGAGGAGGATGAGAAGCAGAAAAACAAGCAGGATGGGGACAAGGAAAGCCTGATCGAGGAGAGCTGCACACCTCCGGTTAAGGACTTGGCTGGGTTTGCCAACTCCAGCTCTCTCCATGGGATTAATCACATCTTTGTCTCTGGTCGCCTGGGCATCCGGCAGACTCTCTGGGCTCTCGCCTTTTTGACTTCCCTGGCGCTTTTTCTATACCACGCAGCCAAGTGTGCCATCTCTTACCTGGAGCACCCTCACATCACATCTCTGAATGAAGAAGCGACCCCGGAGATGGTTTTCCCCGCCGTGACCATCTGCAACATCAACCGCTTCCGCTTCTCCGCACTCTCTGACGCCGACATCTACCACCTGGCTAACTTGACGGGGCTGCCCCCTAAAAACAAGGATGGCCACAAACCCCATGATTTAATGTATCCTGCCCCTGACATGCAGGACATCTTCAACAGGACAGGACATCAGTTAGATGAGATGCTCAAGAGCTGCAACTTCAGTGGACAGAACTGCTCTGCGGAGGACTTCTCTGTGGTGAGTGAAAAAGTTTCTCAAAGTTAAGCCTATGCCAGACTCTTATCATATTAAAGACTTCATCACCATTTATTGGTTTCATCAAAACTTTTTGTAATAAATAAGTAAAGTAAAATACACATCTATACATTCTGGGGAATCATACAAATGTAACTTTACTAGACTTCTTTTGTTCATACAAAACTACCAATAAACATGAAGGCAAAATGAATACTTGAAGGCGAGAGGAATTTTAATTCTCTTTGTGCGTGCGCTCCTCTCCAGGGGCCATGTGGTCCCCACGATACATTTCTGCATGCAAGATTCATCACTTTGGCTCAGTCATGGAGCTGTGTTTCTTCTCACTAAGTTCCAGGCAGCAACAGTGCTTCTCTCCAGCCGTGTGTTTGAGCCTGTTCTGTCAAAAGAACAAAGGCTGCTCCCGGAGAAGAGAAACTGAGAGATGTCGTATGTGGTTGTATACTTTTCCAAGGCAAACTGTGCCTTAATGCTGCCTCCAACTCCGGTAGCTGGGAGTGCGTGGCAACAAAATAGTAATGGAAAAAAAACGGGTCCCTTCATCCCCGCTTTTCCATCTCCCCCTGTCGCTACCACTCTCTCTTTCTGACATTGCAGAGCAGCTGCCTCGCCCCCCCCTCTCTCTCTCTCTCTCTCTCTCTCTCTCTCTCTCTCTCTCTCTCTCTCTCTCTCTCTCTCTCTCTCTCTCTCTCTCTCTCTCTCTCTCTTGTACCTTTCAGGGTGGAAGGAGTAATGCTTCTTCAACGTTGTATTTCAATCTTGCTGCTGTTAGGATTAAATATTTAAAGACAGACATACATGATTTTTGCATTAGCAAGATTGACTAAAAGGAATAAAACAATTTCCGTGTGTGAGATGGAGAGAGAGGAAGAAAGGGGGGGCGGGGGGGTCAGGTGAAAGAGGGAGAGTTTGTGCCCGTGTTCTGTGCACTATTTATTAAAGGCACTGTCCTTGCAGGAGATGGATTTCCCCATCTCTCCTGCAGGAACAGGAATATGCAATTGCTTTAGTGATGATAAAGTGCAGGTGTCAAGTCTTAATAGGGTATGTTGAACATTGATTCGCTCACCTTCCTGAGACCTTAAGATTCTGTCTTATCACAGGGGTGCCAAATTACACCAAAGAAATAATAACATCATTCTCATTTGGTCTCTCTAACAGCGTATTTATTTTTTCCTTCTTGTCTTTACGGCAGCCCTTCACATGGAGACGCAACATTTCCTGTGATGTAACAAAAGGATTTCTCATTTGTTCTATCAGGCAAAAGAAAATGTCTCCTCGGAGGAGCTTAAAAGTTTGACTAAATTCAGTCTGAGCAACGACATGGCTCTAAAAGTTTAAAATGTGCTTGTAGCACGTTTGACGGCGATGTCGTCTGACACTTTGGCGCTCATTCTTCCCAGAGTACATTAATTAGCAGACAATTCTCACATCCAGGAAATGTCTGTCCCCTGTCAGTCTGTGATGCGACGTGTAGCTCTCTTTGGACACTGGGTGACTTCCTCACAGATTAAGATCCTGTTGAAAGTTCCCAAGCTGCAGTTTCCTCTCTGTCGGCTATGTGATCTGCATTTTTCGGGGACTGTCAGTTCGATTTGTTTCAGGCTACTTGCTGCCTCCACGCATGACAAATCACTTAGTCCGAGTCCTGGTGGAGGACAAAACTGGGAGTGCATGGGGAGAAATGTCTGGGATCTGTGGGTCACACGCATTGCTCGTGTTAGTGTGTATTTTATGTCTACAAATCGGCCATCATTTGTTGCAGCAAGGAAAGCCATTATTACAGGTGGTGTGCCATTAATCACATGCAAGAACAGAGCCACATGCACGCACATATGAAAGTCTCCCGCACGCATCGGTCGTTATTTGTCCTCTCATGGGGCCCTCCTTCTGGAATCGGCTTATTGTAATTTGTTTTTTATCCGATTGATCATTCTCGCAGCTCCAGATGTTTCATTTTGGCAATAACTACTTGGATAGGGGTCTCTCGGGAAAATTGCATGATGAATTATAATTGAAATATTTTCTGACATTTAAGCTTCTACTGTAAAGAGACTAGTGTAGTGGAATAGTCTTTTATTCCCCAATAATTTAAAGTAAGCGCCTAGAATTTAGTTTATCGTAAATGCAAAACTTACTGTCCCAAATGTGTGCTCTAAAATACTTGAACATTAAAAAACATCCATGGTGTGAATATTTTTCCCTCCCATTTCAGGTTATTAGTTTATTGCAGAAAATCATTAATTGGCTTCTCTGCATTCACTGCTCAGAAGATTTAAATAAATACAAGTCTCAGGGCGCGAACACAGTTGTCTTGCTGCTCTAATTTATGGCAAGAAAATACATAATCACATAGCAGAGGAATTTGTTTTCCCCTTCCCAGCATCGTGGACCGGCGTGATTATTTGACGTATGTAATAAGGCCATTCTTTATAATTAAAGATTACATTATTGACTTGGATTAATCACAGAAGATAAAGCTGATTCAACAAGCCATGAATAAATAGATTATTTCTCTTCCAGTCTAACTCTGAATAATTGTTCATCTATTGTGTTGTGCTGTCGCAGAGATGAGCAGCGAGCCCTTTGGCTTTTTTTAAACACAGCTCTGAATTGGTTTGCTCTGACGCTCAGCTGTGTTTGCTGCTGCATTATCAGATTTTGCTCTCAGCAAGGACAGATTCCTTCTGCATATATTCATGGAGATAACTAAACAGTTATAAGGGTGGCATCCGAGGTGAGCTATAAAAACCTGGGTTAACGGGACAGCGCTGAGGAGCACTCAACCTGCAATCTGTCATTACACTGACGGAAGCCCCTCTTGTGTGTTTATAGATAATTGTAAGTTTAATAGTCTAAGCCATAGATGATGATCACCCCCCTCCCCCCCTCGTTTGTCCTATCCTTCACACTGGGATGAAATCTTAAACCACATAAATGTATATCAATACTGTGAACAAATGGCACACAAGAGACATCATTGTGAGTTGATCTCAATAAGTGCACTGCCCTTGTGTGGTTGATTAGAAAAAAAGAAAAGCGCAAAGGAACATATTTGCAGCCTGATTAAGAAAATTAATAAAAAAGCTGTGGCCACAATTGCGCTTAAACCTAGAATAATGAGTATGAGGAGAGCAGCGCAGTGTGGTGTGTGTGAATCATGTCTACCTGCAATGTACATTTTAGGACTTTGAGGTGCAATCATAAAGAGATAAATCACTAAAAGTAAAACATGTCTGGTACAACCCCATATTTTTATTGCACAACAAGTTTTAACATTTTCCTACGGTGCTGAAGGTCACACCACTTGTCGTTCCGCTTCTCGGTGTGTGGTTTCAGAGCATCTGTGGATAGATACTTGAGTTTGATTGCCGCCGTAACCACAAGAAGAACATCCTGTTGGCGTTGTCTGTGCATCCTGCTCCAAAGCCTGGGGATCATTCTCAGTTCCATATATGTGTTTGTGAAAATGTGTGAAAATGTGCTCTCTACTGTGAGATTGACACGCACTTCCCGGCTGGGTCTAACATCTGCACACACCCCTTAACTTAGTACACCCACGCAGACGTTCACCTAGCTTCCCGCCTTCCCCCTGGTGGAGAGCGAGGAGTGGAAGCGTGAAAGTGACCCGCTATCTCGACCGACTCCGGCTCCAACAGCCTGTCAATTAGCCGTCTACAGTTCCGCCGCTGTGGGTGTCCCCGCAGCTTAGCATGCTGTGTGATATCGGATCCACACACCCAACCTTGGAGGCCGTTATTACATCCCCACAACCCAAAAAACAAATACACACTCTTTTTCTATTTATTTTCTCTCAAAATGCAAAAACAAATAAATGAAAATTGATCCAATATGTTTGGAAGCTAAAAAGAGGATCCTGCTTTTTCAACCCACCATATTCCCGCTGCACTCCTCCTCCTCCTCCGCTCAGAGGAAGATGAATTACGGTGCAATTGGTCGACTGCACCTCCTGATATGCATCACCACTGTCTAATCAGATGAAACCCACCTGTGACCAGTCACTGGATAACACCAATATGCAAACAGTTTATATTTGGGGAGATTTACCTCTTCGATCACTCCCTGAGCTGGTTTTAAAAGCCCACGGTTTGGAGCGCTCGGTTTGATGGGGGGAGAAATCTCCGGCTCAGGGATGGCTTTTAACTCGACGATAAAGGCCTCCGATGTTGTGGTACCTCTAAACCCCCCCCCCCCCCTCCTCTAACCCCTGGGAGTCTTTTACTCACACAGACATTTGTCTCGTTCTGACAAGTCATACACCGAGCTGTTGGGAGTGTTAATGTGGCTTCACACACACACACACACACACACGCAAACATGTGTATTTAGAGTGCAGATAGAACACTTCCCTGTTCAACACACGCAGGTTTCATCACGGATTGAGAGAGTGGGCTCGTAAGATTGATCATGACTCCTGACTGTGCGCCCCTCCCTCTCTGCAGGATCAATACATCCTTCAGTCAGATTGCTTCCCTGCCCTTCCTACTCCAAGCTCGGTGTGACTAATTATCTTGTGCCTGTGTTTTGGGCCAAGTCTCAGCTGCATTTGTTAATGCTGCGAGTTGGGGGAAGAATTTGATCTTTGGAACAAGATATCTGTTTGTTTTAGCTTATATCCAGCCCAAATCAATCAATATACACTGTCTACCTTTTTTTCTAAAGGGCGCAGAAATTATCGAGCAACACGAGATGACTCACAGCTTTTTCCGCGTGGAGGATGGGGAGGATTGAGTGTTTTGATAAAGTGAAATCAAATTTAGAGTCAATCCAAAAGTCAAAATAGAGGTTTTTCTGATGTAGTACCGCACATTCTGAATTAAAAATCCACTTTATAAAGAGCAAGAGTGAATTTTGATAGAGATTGCACCCTTGGGCCTGATTAGATTACTCAGAAATTTAACAAACTCAGAGATGACTGAATTTAAATTAGTTCTCGCAAATGAAAAGTGTGTGTCTACATG